CAAGTATTGCTTATTAACGGCTTTCGGTCACTCCTTAGATAACGTTTACGCTCTGACAGCATAGTTCGGGCGTTTTTGGCGCCGCGGTAGCAACGGTTTGCGGATGATGAGTATTTGTTACTCTATTTGACCCTAATTGGGTCCATTTTTTGCGGGTTTGTGCTTTTAAGCAGGCCAAAGTGCGACTAACTACACTTGCTGACTCCGTTTGTAATCTAGGTTTATAAGAGAGGGCGATTAATCCGTAAATTTCATGTCTACGACGGGTTGGAAGCAATGCGTGAAACTTGTGAAACGTCGGACATTTAATAAACTAGATGATGTGCTGGGTTATTTGATACTCCAACATCATACGCGAAATCCGCAAATCTCATGTAAGTACGTGAGTTAGACACATTTAGCCCAGCGTACCATCATCCAGTACGGGTTGTCGACGAACATCCTAACTCCGTATGCAGATTATTCAGCGAATGTATTTATTTCGTGGGGAATAGCTGGATTTATTTTGGGAGTTGAGGCAGAATAATGGGTACTGGATAGCATAGACTTAAACGATATCTGCTCAATTACGTCTACAGTCAAACATTGCTCGTTGCCATGATAACAACCTACAATATAGTTTTTCATATATAACACTGCTTCGATATCAATCTTAAATGAAAAAAAACCCACTGGCAATCTGAGACGTGTTTATTTGATGTAGGTCTATAGTCGCAGGTCATTGCGGATGTTTTTCGTCTTCCACTTCCCGACTTCCCGCCCTTTTTTGTCGCTTACTTACACCTCCTGGCACCGTGGTCTGGCCGACTGCCTGTCATGCTCGTATTCTTTCGAAGGACTGGGTGTCGTCTTGTAATCGGCTGATTTCTCGTTTAATCCTATTTCTATGCCTTTGACACATGGTTTTTACTGATTTCTGTCAGGCACGATGGAAATTAAGAATGATATAGGAGTTTATATGCGCAGAAGGAGTATGCCCTTCTAGATCATGGTAGGCTGCTATAGGACCGGATATTCAAATTCGAAGCTTTTGCTTGTTCTTGGGCCAGAATTAAATCCCAATCGTTATAAATGCGTGTACAAAAGAGCTCTATCTTTTTTCACTGGCGTCAGACTTAGAACCAACCATCCGGATGTCGTTCGATCTCCCCCCTCTCAAACCCGATACCGTTGAAGAGGTTTTCGCTGAAAAGTGCCAGCGAATCAACCTGGACTACTACAGCCTCTACCACTTTGACGAACTGACAATTGAAGGCCGCAAGTTCCAGTACCGCCTCTCTTCCAATGGCGACTTTATGACGCTGGTGAGCACCTTCAATGGCCAGTCCGTCGTCATGGTCTCAGTGTGGACGAATATGGACCACGAAAAGCGATTGCGAGATATCCACCAGTACCTTTTAAAAAAGGAGCAACAGGGAGTGACTCTACCCTAGACCACATTTCGTATCTTTGAAATAAAATGCCTTTACCTTCTTCCGAGAGCAAAATGCTTTCTTTGACCGGATGCGTTGGTTTTCTATCGCGCTCTCTGCCTGCTATGCTTGCTACCTCAGACACGGCGAGTTCTGACAAGGCAATTTCGTTTAAAACAGTCTACTGGCATTGTGATGTCCCAATTATCATAAAACAGGTGTTCCAATTCGAAATATAAGTGCGGGTCGCCGTGAGGTATGTCGGAATTTCCAACGCCAAACACCGGCTCTTACGCTATGACTTCTTTGTTAACTGATTGCCTCTCGGTATAAGAGTGGCGGTGAACGCCTTAGTTTTGTTTTCTGTGTTGCATGGTGGCGATTTTGTTCCGGAAAATACCCACGCGAAATAAGTGTGTACCGTGTACCGTTTGACAAAAATGAGGGTTCCTTGTACTGACTACCGCAGGCGTATTGTTGACAAGGGAAAAATACTCAATCAGACCAAACATAAGATAAAATACTATCTGGCTCATAACAGATAAAGGACAATAAAGTCACTTGGCCTAGGCGCCGAAGTAGCAGTTGCGGTGGCAATATTAAGCAATCGGTTTGGCGTGCAGATTTAGCGGATGCCATAATATTTTAACACACACTGGCGTAATAACGACGATATGGTGGCTGGTGGCTCTTAAGATTCGAGCCGATTTTATTCAAGTTGCATATTGCAAAAAGGTAATTTGCCAGGTAGAATGCTGTGTCTACTATGTTAGACTTCCTGTATGTTCTGTTACCTTTTCACTTAAGTGCCGAACCGTGTACCGTAGATGCTTAACAGACTTCCAAACTGCATTCCACGTTCAGGCCGCTCTTAAAAGTAAGCTTGTGCCAGTTGGCTGTAAACTGCGCATCGCTTTATTTTTATCTATTTTACCTGCAGTTTTCAAGCAGTGCTTGTACTCAGATTACCACAATTATCAGGCCAAATCTCACGATGTAGGTAAAAGGCACCTGTAAGAGACATTTGTTGTGCACGGAACTCACAGTTGCTGTCTTAAGCACT